AATTGAGTTTTTCATAACATTAATTGTTGCATAGACTAAAGTATTATGCAAATGATTATTGTCTACTCATAACTAAAAGTTTGTGAAGTTTTTTTTTTGTGTAAGCAAGATAGAACTGAGGATTCTCCAACCTTTTTACACCAAAATCGGGATCAACCCGACAAAAGAAGAAAAATTACAAACCAATTAGGCTTACGAAAGGAAAAGTAAAGGCTTTTTACTAAACTCGTAAAAACTACAATTGGAATGAGTAATATCTCCACAAAAAGACCACTTCCATATCAAAGATTTTATACACCACACCCTATTGTTAATATTCTACTCCTCATACCAAAAACAAACACCATTCCTTAATAACCAAAGAGTCCAAGTAGTGGCTAGCCAAATAACCCTTAATTTGCCCTCTTTGACCTTTTTTCCATGACAAAATAAGTACCATTTCATAAAATTTGAAAGACACTCTTCCTCCATCTCGTCCGATTTACCTATCCAAGTGGATATTTTCCTCCAAATGATTTTAACCACGCTACAAGTAAAGAAGGAATGATTCCTATTTTCCGATTCTAACCCACAAAATATGCACTTCAAAGAATATATAGGAAAGTTAATACCTATATACACCAAAAGGCCCTTTGTTGGAAGTCTATTAATAAGAAGTCTCTAACCAAATGCCTTTATCTTGAAAGGAACTTCCATTTTCTAAATTAAGCTCAAAGTCGCATCGTACCTGTTAAAAGGACCAAACAGAATTTGAAAAAAAGAAAGACAATCATAACAAGAAGCCACCGAGAATCCGTCTTCTGAGTCAAGATCCAAAGCTACAAAATCGGCTCCTTCCTCCTTAATGCCATGACCACCGAGCCGATCCTTCATGGAATTCAAATCGACCGTGAGATAAGGGTCTCGCGCCACCGCCCCCATAAGACCAAAATCTCCCCACTTCTATATTCCTTCCGTCCAACCCCCCATGTCTGCTAAAGAGACTCTCTTTAAACATGAAGCATTATACAAGGCCGGAAAAATCTCCTTCAAAGTTTTGTCTTCCAACCACTTAGCCTCCCAAAAATGAGTGGTGAAACCTCTTCCAACCTTGATGTATAATGCATTTCTCCTTCTTTGATGTATAATGTATTTCAGGTTAATAACCCGATACTTCTCGTCTAAGTGAACTTTTAGATGTGTTATGTAGTTTCCAATTGCTCCAATATAATACACTAAGAGGAGTCCTTAAAGAATATTGGAAAAATTATTTTAATAAAAATCCCAATTTTGAGATATAATTTGAGCAAATAATTAGATACTTGATTGCAGTCTAATAGGCTGATTATTAATTGAAAAATTAAATTTTCCAATATTAGGGGGAGAGATTAAGAGGCTGAAGAGTAAAACAAAAGTTCAAATAAATAATTTAAAATAAATTATCATCTCGATCCTCGTATAAATGAATAAGAACAAGAAGTTCAATATATTTATCATTTGCAAAGTTTATAAAATTTATTATCAGCTGCTAATACTCCAATTAAAGTAGACTCTCTTGTTAGATAATCTAATATTGCAAATGAGTTGAAACTATGGATGAAGCGTGGTAGATAAGTTGGTTCTAATTTTAAAAGTCCTCTACAAAAAATGAGATAAATTAAATATGACTCACGTGAGGATATGTAAACTCTAAGAGTACTTTGATATACTTTATTTTTAGTTCCAAAAGATCTAACTAGGTACCTGAAATTTTTTAAAAATAAAGAGATCTCGATATATTATGACATGAATGGAAAACGAGGAAACTAAAATAAAGTCAATATTGACAATGTCTTTGAATATAATATAGCGCTAAACATGATAAATGATAATGAGGATCATGAGTCAAGTCTATCATAGATTATAGACTAAGTGAGAATTAGCCAAAATAAATATATTCAATTGAAGAAGAATTAAACTCACTTTACAAGCGACTCTATTTTGGACCTGTAGTCCGAACGCCTCAAGGTGTGAAACCAATGAGATATAAATGAGTTTTTGTGAAAAAGAAAAATAAGAATGGTAAAAAGCTTGATTTGTTGCTCAATAATTTTCACAAAGACCTAAGATTTATTTTAATGAAACATATCCACCTATAGTGGATGCAATTCAATTTTTGATATTTAATTATTCTTGCAGCACATGAATGATTTAATTTGACCATGGTGGATATGGTAAAAACTTATTAGCATGACTCATTTGATAGTAACATTTAGAAACTCTCAAAAGAGTTTAATATGTCAGAGATACATAATTTTGGATCTCGACAAAGTTAGTCCATCAAATTAAACAAGTATCTGTATGGGTTAAAACAATATGGACACATGTGGTATAGTTGTCTCAATGAATGTTTGCCAAGGGAGATATACAAACAAGTCCATATGTCCTTGTTTTTTTAATGAAAATATCTAAAAAAATAATTTTCTATAATAGTTGTCTATGTAGATAACATAAAATTAGTGGAACTCCTGAAGAGATTCCAAAAGCTATAAATTGTTTAAATAAATGGTTTGAGATGAAGGACTTGGAAAATAAAAAGTCCTTACAAAGTGAACATTTAGACAATAGAAAATTTCATACACCAAGAAGTTATATAAAAAAGTGTTAAAACATTTCTAAATGAACAAATATCGTATGTTATGTAGCATAAGTGCTAAAATATTGTATATGGACAAATCTCGTATGTCGTGTACCCCAATGATGTTAGATCATTGGATGTGTAGAAGATTCTATTAGACTTCAAGAATAGGATAATAAACTAATTGGTCTTAAAGTACCATATCTCAGTGCAATTCAAGCACTAATCTATCTTGCTAATTACACACACCATGATGTCTCAAGTACTATTACTTTATTAACAAGATATAGTTCTTCGCCTACACGAAGACATTCGAACGAAGTCAAACTATACTTCGTTATTTTAGGGCTAAATGGACATGAGTTTGTTTTATTCATATTCAAATTAGAATTAACAAATTATGCAGAAACATAATACTTTCCAGACCCTCATAATGGTAGATTGCACAAATTATTTGTTTACTTATGGTGGTACAACTATTTCATGGAGGCCAGTGAATCAAACCATAACAACAACTTAGTTTAATCATGAAGAAAATTTTAGCACTACATGAGGCAAGTCGAGAATGTGTTTGGTTGAGATCCTTAATCCAACACATACAAAATACTTGTGTTTTGTCTTATAGAAAAACAAATACAACGATAATATATGAAGATAATATTGCATGCATCACTCAATTGAAAGATCGTTACATTAAAGGAGACTGAAGAAAACTCATCTCTCAAAAGTTCTTTTTTACTCATGATCTTCAGAAGAATGGTGATATAAATATCTAGCAAATTTGGTCATGTGATAATCTTGCAGACCTTTTCACAAAGTCACTCCCAAGTAGAAACTTTAATCAACTAGTACAAAAGATTGGTGTTCATCGTCGAATAAATGATCGTTCAGTTGAGGGGGGAAAAATAATTTATTTTAGGATATTGTACTCTTTTTCCTTCACAAGATTTTTTCCCACTAAGTTTTTTCTAGAAAGGTCTTAACGAGGCATATCCTGAACAAACATCAAAGGAGGACTATTATGAATAATTGATGGTTGTCTCCCTATAATTTTCTTTCTTATTTGTAATAATTTGTATTGATTGTAACCATGTAGTTCCCTCACAAAGAATATTGTACTCTTTTTCCTTCATTAGAATTTTTTCTACTGGGTTTTTTTCTAGTAAGATTTTAATGAGGGATATTCTTTATAGACATCCAAGGGAGAATGTTATAAATAACATGATTATGCATGTCCATCGTTAGGATATTTCATATTGATTTTCTATTTATTATATGTTCTATAAATAACACTCATATTATACTTGAAATCTATACAACTAATGAGAATAATACAATATTATCTCTCTCTCTTTCTCTCATTCATCTTTAATAATATTTCATTCTAACATACTAATGTAATGCTTCTTATTAATTTCATAATAAATTAATCTTTTTTAATAATTAGGTTTAATATAAATATGTGTGTCCCAAAATTCTTCATTGTTGCCTTTTTAGTCTCCTTGTTCTTTTATTTGTTTTTACAGTTAAATTTTATTTTATTAAGACTTATCATTAAGGATGCTCATGGAGATTAATTCTCATAACTAAATTCATAAATTGTATCTAAATATTGAAATTAATTGTTTATAATCTTAAAATGATTATAAATTAATTATTAATTGATAATATTTATAATCAATTTTATAATTAATTTTAAATTAAATTTTTTAAAAACAATTTATTTTTTATTTTCTAAAAATAAAAAATCAATTTTTTTAAATTTTTATATTTAAGAAATTTTGTTTTAAAAGTTAAATGGATTAATTTAATTTTTATTTTAGATATGAATGTCTAAAATATAAGTTTGATTAAAACTATATTTAAAATATAGATTTAATTTGATTAAAATCATATTAATAATTATTAATAATTAGTCGTTTTTAATAATCAGATTTAGTATAGATATGAACATTTCAAATAATCGATTAATTTTAGTACTCCTCTTCATCATCCACCATTTGTCGCTTACTCCGGTTCTTCCCGGCCTAAACCGGTTCCCGGTTCATCAAGGCTTCCAATATTTTATACTAACTGGATCGGTATCAATTGGCTGGTCCGATTCGGTTCGTAATTATAAAATATTGGCTTACATTTGAAGCAGAGGAGTATTTATTTTAGCTTACATTTGAAGCAGAGGAGTGTTTTAGCTTACAATTGAAGGAGAGGAGTATTTTAACTTACGTTTAAATTTCGTGTTTACTATTTATCTATCCGCCACCGTAAAAACTAACCCTTATTCTTCCATTCTTATTCTCACTCTTCATTATCAGGTACCACTTTTACCTTTTCAGCTATTCAATTTCGTTTTTTTTTTTTTTGGTGTTTCTTAATTTGTCTCTATGTTGTTTTTATAGTGCAAAAAATGTCATCGGATATTGTTTATCAACGCCCTTTGTTTGGGGGAAAAATATCATGCACGTTCCCCAATAGATTCCAGGTGAAAGATTGTTTTTAGTTGAAGCATTATTTTTGAAATTTAGTAGTTTTTTTTATTTTCAAAAATTCTTTCAATTGTATAGGTTTTTATACTGTCAAACAAAATTGTCATTGGTTGTAATTTTGTTGAGGTTTTTGATATTTTTTTTTGTAGGATGTCAGCGAAATTCGCCAAGTCCCTGATCATCAGGTTTGTTGTGTTTTCTCTTTGAATTTGATTTGAATTGTATTGTATTGTGTTGTTACGTTTGATCTTTTTAACTAACTGATTTCTTGGGTTTTGGTAATTTATACAGGAGGTGTTTGCGGATCCTAGCCGCGATGAAAGTTTGATTGTTGAGCTTTTAGAGTTTAAGCCTGATGTTGCTGATAATGGTAGTGCTGTGTGGTTTCTGCAAGACCTTGCTAGGGAACAAGATGCTCAAGGAACTGTGGTATGTCATTGTTGTTTTTTCTTTCTTCGAGTTTTAAGTGAAATTTGATATTGTAATTGGTAAATAGAAACTGGTTTTTATCGTGTTTGCTGATTATATGTGGCGGCAACCAGGGGCTGTTATTAATGTATATAGTAGGATTAATTTAACAGTATGATTAGTACAATTGTAATGTTTGCATAGACGATTACTTCTGTGATACCCCTTGTCCTCTCTACCTTTTCCCTACCGAGGATTTTCTTAGAAAGCAGTAGCAGAATAATAGAATCAGTGATTGAATTGCTTATTTCCCTTTCTTGTTGAATCAACACAGAAAAGATAGTATTGACATTAGGAAGAGGAGTCCTGAGGATGGTATGAGATTTTGTGTGACAAAAGCGATCATTTAATCCTTTAAGAAAGCGAATCACGTAATCTTGTTCACGATTAGTTTTGATAGACTCAATTGCACCACATGAACAATGAGGAATTGGGCGATAGTTCTCTAATTTGTCCCAAAGATCCTTCAATTGAGTGTAGTGATCAGAGATTTCAAGTGTACCTGGTCGAAATTTGTAGAGCACTTTTTGAATATCAGATATGCGGAAGATATCCCCTTGCAAAAACCTAATTTGTAAATTTCTCCGAAGACCAGTAATTGAAATGATCCAAAGAACAGAACACACAATTGATTAAAAACCTATTTTAGTTGAAGTGGAAGGATGTAGTTAGCTTCCAATATGCCTCTTCATGTTAGAGTTCTTTGGACATGAAACTTAGGCAATGCATAGATCCATCTAACTCTTGCAGATACATGTCATGACCAATTTTTCCAAAAGTAAGCAGTTAGTTGAAAAAATCCCATAACTATTATGTATATGATACTTCTGATGCTCGAGTTATTTGACACGATGAAGCTAAAACACTACAATTTCAGTGTCCATGTATTCATGTACATATTGCATTCCAACACTAAGGCACAACACTTTCTATAAGAGGGGATAACTTTCCTTCAGCTCAGTTCTTTTACTGTCTTATTTGTTGCAGAAGTTTATTGTCTCTCATTATCATATATGCCATTTAAAATTATTTCAGGTTATTGAGCAGTCAGGAGTTCATGAAGCACCCGGTTTGATGTACAATAGTATACCAGCTGCTGTAACAACTGCAGTAGGCCAAATGGTAAAAAAAAATTATATACAGTGCTTTTTATTTGTAAATGAATTTTTATGCAATGTTACTACATCATTTTGAGTCACCTAGATGAATAATCTCTGGATTAATTGATGATTTTGACAACTTCTGTTTCGATAACTGTTTCTAAAGATTGCATTGATGCGCTATGTAGTGTTAGTAATGCTGTGAATCTCTATTCCTTTTTTTAAGGCTTCCTCCTTTTTAAATTAAAAAAAAAAAATTATATTATAAACTACAGGCCAACTTTCAGTTAATCTGTTATTTGGTCGCTAGTCTGTGCCGAAATTATGAATTTCTCAGTCTTGACATGTGAACACAAAAACTTCTTGAATTTTCGTAACTTGAACAAACTGGAAACTGGCATTTTATAGTGATTCTCAGTAAAAGTGTCATTTGGATTATCCAGATTTTCTATCATATATTCTTGTTGAAGCTGCTCAAACAAAATAACAAATTTGTGTTTACTTCTACTATAAGTCATGTTGAGTATTGATCTAATAACGAGTTTGTTGTACTAATCAAGTACTATATTTTGTGGCTGTTTCCGTTTCTAATGTTACTCTTTTTACGGTACACTTATTCTTTTATTAATGATTATTGCTAGGCGATCTCTAAGGGAAGACAGGGAAGGGAAGCACAAAATATTGTGAAAGTATGTTCTAGTTTACTTGGCATGTTTTGAACTTTTGCAATTGTTAATTTGTCAATTTTTTTTCCTATAGTAATTGGCTGGCCTTGCTAATTTGTCATTGTTTAATTTAATCAGGTTCATTTGGCAAATTTGCGTATTAAAGGAGTTGATACTGATGTACTAATCACTGCATATGAGCCTATTGTTATAAAGTAAGTTCTGGAACATCTTTTTCTTGACATAAGCTCTTTGGAAAATTGTCCTGCAATTCACTTGTTTCAATTGTTTACTGATTGACCTTTCTATTTTATGTTTGCAGTCCTTTTAGCGAAAGCGCGGATACCGTTGGTGCCGGCATGGCTGTTCCTGCTGCACAAGCTGGATGTATGCCAATGGAAGAGGTCTTTAAACTTGCTGTTACAAGCTTCAAGGTTTATGACTGGAGTCTTTTTTGATGTATGCGTTGATGTTCGATTATAGTATGGAGTTGGAATTTTGGTGACATTTGAACTGTCATTATTCTAGTAAAATTTTGAGCATAGGTGCTATTTTCCCTTTTTTCTTTGTACAGAACTTGTTTAGACCCATTTAAAGTATTCTGAAATTTTTATACCAGAACTGAATTAAATCAACTTGCCCATTAACAGATTGGGGCAGGTTCCATTTGAGGTTCATCAAGAAAAAACAGTTTTTATTCAAAAGTATTGTAAGTAAATAAAAGACTTTGAGTACTTTTAACATTTAAAAATAATAAAATTTAAACTCATAATTCAAATACTTAAAATATATCAGATCACTAGAGAAACTACTTCAAAAGTATTCACAGATACAACAAAAAGTATCTGAACTAATTAACAAATTCAATCCAACAACTAAACCAAGATCACGGCCCTCTTTCCGAGCTTGTACTCATGCTTCCAGAGTCATTTTCCTCCCCCCATTCCTCCCTTTGTCGAGCTTTTCCTTTAATCGTTGTGGGAAGCATTCTCTTACTTTACTCAATGACCTTTAATGGTTGTGGGAAACCTTCCCTTACTTTACTCAATGACTTGATCGATAGAGAAAGAGCTCCAATGAGTATCAACTGCAACATTCGCACTAAAATCTACTTCCAACCTTTAACACTTGACTGAGCTAGAATCTAATTCCAACCTTTAACACTTGCCAACCTTTAACACTTGGTTGAGCAAATCCAAAACTAGCATCTTTGAAGGAATTCTATTATAATAAGATATTTGTCTATGCTTTCTTAGTTAGGTACACTCGATTACATATAGTTCCATCTATTATAATATGATATTTTTCTATGCTTTTTTAGTTAGGTAAGTTCGATTACATCTAGATTTAAGTGTAGTTTGCCTGAATGTCGAGTCTTTCTACGCCGTTGTACCTCTTGGAAATATTAGATCCGACCGGGTAGTATAATCGGCGAAAGAGATGATGAAACTGGTAGTCATCTCGGTGGAGAAAGTCCCTGGGGTGCAACTTGGCCGATGAGTACCGGATGGTCATCACACCTTCGAGTAGCAGTCCGTTTGCACGCTAAACCCGAACAAGGTTGGTGATCGAGTCCACCAGCCCATAACTGATCATCAACCCCGGCTCATTAATGCTCGTAAACCTCCTCCAACACATTTACTACAATGTTACACAACTTTAATCACCTTCATTCATGGAGACGACAAAGGTTACATGGTTATGGAACTCAAGAGTCACTCATTAACTGAGACTCTTGATGATGCAAGGAAGAACAGTTATATAAGGACTCCCGCAAGAAGGATAAGCAAGACATATATTCTTGGGCAATACGCATTATAGACGTAGCTCCCAAATCCCCCATCAATCCACAAACCTACTTTCGTGGCTTCCCCTACTCATAGCGGGAAGCCGGCCAGATATTTGTTCTACATAAGAACATTGACGCCCACTGTGGGATCGCAGTGAAATTATTCCTAGGCCACACTTCAACTCACATTCAACATAATGTCATCTCCTAGAGGCCCCCCCCCCAGACATGGCACAACTATTAGCCATGGTGGAGGCCCTCAGACAGCAGAACGAAACTCTGCAAGATAGTGTCACAGACCTGCAACAAAGAAGCGTAGGGGACGATAACCCAGAAGAGGAGCTTCTGGAACCCTAACCTCTCTCTCAGGCTATCCGAAACGATCAAGTCCCAGAGAACTTCAAATCACCGTCGCTGACAGCCCATGACGGCAAAACCGATCCTCGGGAGCATGTTATCGCCATCAACAACCAAATGGCAATAATAAGTTCCACCGACTCACTAAAGTGTAAACTGTTGGTTGGTACCTTCAAAGACGTAGCCCTACGATGGTACATGATCCTACCACAATCGTCCGTAGAAAGTTACTCAGACCTAACGAAGAAATTGATTCAGCACTTCTCCACCAATAAGCATCATAAGATGTCCACGACATCCTTATTCATTGTCCGAAAAGGTCAAGCAGAGTCTCTTCGAGAGTACTTAGTCCAATTCAACGAGGAGACCATCAAAGTATCTCATCCCAACCAAGAGTTGTTCGTTGTGGCATTCCAGCACGGCCTTCGAGCCGGGCAGATCAACAAATCATTAGCGTAGAAACCCGTGTCCGACATGAACGAAATCATCACCCGAGCGGAATATTACATAAAGGGTGAGGAGAGAAACATGGAGAAATAATCCAGAGATACTCTAGAGATAAGAAAGACCAAAGAAGAAGGGTCAGGGAGGAAGCAAGAGTCATCCCGAACGACTTTGAGAAATAGGCCCTGAGATCGCACAACTCAAAGGTCTAACCGACATCCCTCTAATCTTAATGACGTGGAGACACCTCTGAACACAAGGAGAGGAAATTTTTTAAAAGTAGTGGCGCACTTAAACCTGATCCCAGAGACGCCCCGTAATAAAAGGGGGGTCAATGTCGTATTGGGGAAGCATACTGGGGCTTGGTGTAGCTATCATCGGCTCCCGGGACACCATATTAACGATTGGCTCCAATTAAAGAAAGAAATCGAGATATTGATACATAGGGGGCACCTACTAACTTATGTGAAAGAGAGTAAGCCCCATCCGGCAAAAGAGACACTCGTTGAGAAAATGCCGACTCGGAAAGACACTCCCAAAAGAAAGGGAAGGGTATCGAAGAGGTGCATGAGATTAAATCAGCTCGCCATACCCTTAACACCATCTCCGGTGGATTCGTTGGCGACAGAGAAACCAACTCGACTAGGAAGAAATACGTCTGGGCCGTGATGCATGTATCCGAAGACATATGCAAGGTTCGGAAGCATGATTTAAACCCTGTTAGCTTCTCTAAAAAGGACGCGGTTGGCATTATGGCCCACGAGAATGATCCTATGGTCATCAAGGTACAAATCCGAGATTGGAGCATGAAAAAGATGTTGGTAGATCCCAACAGTTTAGTTGATGTGCTTTATTGGGAAGCCTTCAAGGGGATATAGTTCGACACAACTGAGCTATTACCCTTCAACGATACCCTAGTCGAGTTCTCTGGGGAGAAAGTGCAAGTATTAGGACACCTCATAGTGCTTACTACCTTTGGGAGTGACGCAAATGCTAAAACAACCAGAGTGAGGTACTTGATTGTCAACGCTGGTTCACCCTATAACATCATCATAGGAAGACCCTTTTTCAATTCCTTGGAAGCTGCTCTCTCCATCCTATACCTCACCATGAAATACCCATTGGGAAACTGTTGTGTTGGGATGATTAAAGGAGATCAAGGATTGGCCAAGAAATGCTACAAAGGCATCCTGAAGTTAAAAATGAAGATACAAACCAAAGAGCTCGGGCATTCTAATGAGTTGAAAGTTAACATGATTGACATGGATCCAGGAAACGATGCGTCAGAAGAAATCCTTTATCCTTATGAAGAAATAAAGAGGATCCAAATCGGCACCACACCTTCTGAAATAACTAATATATAATGTAATCTTTCTTTGGAGGAGGAAACATAAACTGTGGGGCTGTTGAAGGAAAACATCGACTTGTTCGCGTGGAAACCCTCAAATATGCTAGGAATAGACCCCAACTTCACGTGCCATCATTTAACATTGAATACTGACACCAAGCTGGTATCCCGGAGGAAAAGAAAAGGAGGAGAAGAAAAGAAGAAGGCTATAAAAGACGAGATCAAGAAACTACTCGATGCTGACTTTATCAAAGAAATCAAATATCCAACTTGGCTAGCCAACGTGGTTATGGTTAAAAATAAGACATGGAAGTGACACATGTGCGTCGACTTCACGGATCTTAATAAAGCATGCTCTAAGGATTCGTATCCATTACCTCAGATAGACCGACTCATTGACGAAACCTTAGGCTACATATTGCCTAGCTTCATGGATGCCTATTCTGGGTACAACCAAATCCGTATGAGCCTGGACGATGCATCAAGGACTTCCTTTATGATAGATCAGAGCAACTATTATTATGAAGTAATTCCATTTGGTCTCAAGAATGCAAGAGCCACCTACCAGCGGCTGGTGGACAAGGTTTTTGCCACCTAAATTGTCATAAATATGGAAGTATGCGTAGACAACATGGTCGTCAAAACCACCAGTGAGAAGCAACATGTAACGAACTTGAAAGAAACACTCGCATCCATAAGGAGATAAAACATGAGGCTTAACCTAGACAAATTTATCTTTGGAGTGCAAGCCGGTAAGTTCCTGGGTTTCAAGCTCACAAATCGAGGAATAGAAGCTAACCTGGACAAATGCCAGGAGATTATTGACATGCGTAGCCTATCTTCGAAAAAGGAAGTATAACAACTTACGGGAATATTGGCTGCTTTATCTCGATTTATGTCATGCGTTGGAGATAGAGCAATCCATTTCTTTGCTGCCCTTAGGAAATCAGAAGAATTCGAGTGGATGACAGCATGTGAGAAAGCCTTTTAAGGAGTAAAATGCTTTTTGTCCTCTCCATCGATCCTGACGAGACTGTGAGAAAATACACCTTTGACCCTATATTTGGCAGTCTCTGAAAAAGCTATGAGTCCAGTTCTCGTTCGGTAAGAGGAAGATGGTGAAAAACTGGTGTTCTTCGTCAGGAAATTCTGAAAGGAGCCGAGCAGCGATACCAGAAGATCTAAAAGCTAGCATTAGCGTTGGTAATAACAACATGGAAATTGAGACATTATTTCCAAGGCCATCCGATAACCGTAAGGACTAATTATCCCATCAAGCAGATACTGAAGAAGCCGGATCTAGCCAGAAGGATGGTCACATGGACTGTAGAATTGTCAGAATATGATATTGGATTCACCCTGAGAACCAATATCAAATCACGGGTCTTGTCCAATTTCATAGTTAAGCTAAGTGGCCTAATATAAGAAGAAAGTGTAAACAAGTGGTCTCTTCACGTTGACGGTTCGTCCAACCTTATAGGAAGCGGAGTTGAGATTGTACTCGAAGGACCCTAGAAATT